GCCATTTGTGGATATCGATTCTGTCTTAGCCGAGGTGATTTGCCTTATTCCTCCTTCCCTCTCACCCATTCGGATTATTCGCCTGGCGCGAAAAGCTGAATGCAATTAAAATAGTGCTACTTAAAATTTGTAAGTAGGTGGTTATAATTTATTACAACCCTTCCAAGATCCAACGACGGAGCCGTTTGTAGATATTGGTTCTGTCTTAACCGAGGTGATTTGTATTACCCCTCTCACTCATTCGAATTGTTTACCTAACTGCTTGACAATCACAAATACTGCCCGAAACACTTGAAGAGCGTTTGACATTCCCCAGAGCCTGCGAGGCCGAATACTTTTTAGTGATGCAATAGCGTCCTGGACGAAAGCCGTGCTTTCCATCACCTACTATTTCGTTTCTTCTCAGGCATCCCAGTAAATGCCTCTTGATAATGCTTTCCATTGTTTTACACACGAGATGGAGTAATTCGGCCCTGACTATGTCCTGTGAGGAGTCTAGGTCCTCCTCAGCAATGAGGAGGAGGGTAGGGGTGTAGATATTTGTCGACCAGTCTGCTTTGGATATAAGTTATTTTGAAGCTGGCCGTTTGGATCATATATGTAAACTCATCCTAACATGAAAACTTATTGCCGGGAGAAATGAACCTCACGAAAAAGTCAAATATTTATATGCTTAAGACCAAGTAAATATTTTCATAGTAAGTTTCCTCTTTAAAAGTAACTTAAGTTCAACATTTAGCTGACGATCATCTGTGTAACTTACCTGTTTTTCCAAGGTAACTTCAAATCAAAAATGGCAAAGTTTGATTATTCTTGATTTTCCTAAAAATTAAAGATGAAATTTCAGCTGGACATAAAAAGCGCACTTTCCTCTTTATATTAGGATTTTTTACATAACCAAGTGTAAGCTAAACTACAAACTCGAATTTCGATCACGATTCTGTATTAGTTAGGTCACCTAGTGTACACAGGTGGATTGATTGATCCGGTTGTTTTTCACATTTTTCTTCCTTTTAGGTCATGAATGGGTTGGCGAACATGGAGAAGGAACGCAGCAGTGTGGGCCGCGCCGATACTATCACCTCGTCGCTGCGGGCGCGAGAACTGGAAAAAAAGATGCGTATGCCTCTTGCTAAGCACACCCCTGACCTGGTCCTCGACCTGCCCCCCACGGAGTACCAGGGAAGCCCCACGGGCAGTGAGTCCTCCGAGACCGAGACAGAGGTCGCCTCGAAGGGTGGCGGTAGCGGTCTCGCCAGCAAGGGTTTCTCCAGTCTGCGAAATTCTGCTAGTGCTGCTGACACCTTTGCCGAACAGGGCTT